CTGCGAGGCAGGCTGGGGAGGCCAGCTTCCAGGCGGATTTTTTCTCCCGCACATGTGTGAGCGCAGACCACCAGGAACTGCTTAACCGGGGATTTGTCCTGTTTAGGCAATGGGGAGAACGTGGTTGTTGTTGTTGATATCTTAAAGGAAACGGAGAGTTACTTAATTATAAGGTTTGGTCTCTCTTGCCAGGAGAGACCCCCTCTGAACCCTAAACTATACACATCCTGTTGCAGAACTCCCCCCACCCCCTACATTCCTGCTGGGGAACGGCCTCGGTGGGCCCGGGACTGAGCTCCTCTGAAATGCATTGGTGTGTCTCTCCCAATGTTCTGCTCATTTAGGTGGATGCCTAAATTAGACCTTGAAAGCAGCGGAAGTTGCCCGGCAGCCAGGGAGTGCGATCGCCGCAGAACCCGCTGTGAAATCCCAGCCAGGTCCCTGGCTCTTTGAGTGCCTTGGAAATGAAGGCTGAGACGCCCCGCTCCTGAGCTTCTGGTCTCCTGCCCACCCCCATACAGGAGGGAGAAAGCCCTCTGGGGACACAGACAGCCCATGGAAGGTCCCAGGGCAACTGTAGGGGCAGAAGGAGATCTCCAAGGGAGTGAGCAGCCATCTGGATGAAGTCACAGGGTGGCTGAAATGCCCCCTACGCAGTGCCAGTGGGCATGGGGGTTCTGTACCTCCTGGATCCCACAGCCAACTCTATTCTGGGCCAGGCAGCGAGCTCCCGGGCATTACCTGGGTGCATCTGGAAAGTAACCGTTTCATAGAAGATGACATTTCAACAAGGAGTATTTCTGTCTTTTGCAAAGACGCTTGTATTAGCAGGTGAGTAAGGACATTTCAGCCTCAAGAAAGCCTTGATGCTTTCATATGGAACTTCTGGGACTTTATTACGTTCAAGTTCAGAACAGTGATGGGCATGTGGGTCTGCTTATTGAGAGTGGAGAGCCCAGAGCTGGAGGGGGAGAGCCAGCATGGGGTGCAGACACCCTGGGAGCAGAGTGACCAAGGGGCTCCCAGCAACTTTCCAGGTTCTGGCCCCAGGCCTGAGAGGGGAGGGGCAGAATGGCCCCATAACAAGTCAGCTACAAAAGATTCTTCTTTCTGACCCCTCCCCCCAGCCCCACAAAACTGGGCCAAAGAACCCGCCTCCTGAGTGTCCCTAGGACCCTGGCTCCTGGAACCCATCTGAAACTCATTAGCTGCTTGAAATGATTGTCATGGGAGCCCTTGATGGAGAACAAGAAAGGGAGAGGGATACTTTTAAAGGACAGCAATTGGGACCCAAACGCTGGCAGATGTTTGGCAACCTGGCTGTTGAGGAGGGCCTCCGCAGGGCAGAGGGGCTGACTCCTTGCCTGACCCTGGGCTGGCCCCACCTTCCCAGGCCTTTGTCTCCATGGCAGTTCCTGGAGTCCAGGCTGGGTACACCAGCCCTCCGCAGGTCACTTCGCAGCTGTGGAAAGATCCCTGCTCAGGAACAGCTGTGGTGGTCCCTTGACTCTGTCACTTGCAGCTTAATTCCTTTACTTTGCAGATAAAATGAATTCTGAATTTTGAAATGAAAAGGCAGGAGAAATATTAGAATTATGATAACCTCCAGAATTAAAAAATCACAGAACTAAGTCTCTTAGAAGTCTTCAAAATAAAGAATGTGGAATAAAAAATAACTTTTCCCTGTAGAGTCTGAGAAACCCAGAATACTGGAATCATACTGTTAGAATTCTTGGAAAATTAATTTATAGAGTCAGAGTGTTTTAAAACTGCTAAAAATGCTGCTAAAAAAAAAGATTTTAAATCTTAGCAGCATAAAAGGCTAGGCTAAAGGAAATTTAAGACTATGGGATAAGAATTCTAGAATACTAGAATTGTAGAGCATTCAAAATATAGAGGAATAAAAATTTACTGAAATACAGGAATTTACTGAAATGCAGAAGCACGGTCTCCTACCATCACAGAACTTGAGAATGGTGGAGTGTTAGAATATTAAATTAAAGCAACACTGAATAGCAGAATCTTAGAATTGCAGCGTATTAGCACCATGGAATGGCAGCCCATGAATTAGAAAATCATAGTTCGTAATTACAGATTCATTGCATCGTGGACTCTTAGAATCACAGAACATTAGAGTCAGAGTGTCTGTTTTGTTAGAGAAGTACAAGATCTACGAATTACAGAATTTAGGAATTACAGGATTTTAGATGTAGCCTTGAAGAAATCTCAGAGGCAAAAAGGGATTTGGAGGTCACTGGGCTCCACTCCGGGTCCAGTCCCACTGGGGTCCACAGACACGCACACAGGCAAGCACACCTTGGACAACCCTGAGCTTGTGTCTGGACAACATACTCTAATGTTACCATTCCTGCACCCCTAGAGCTGCTGGCCTCCTTTTTCCGTGCCCTCCCTGTCCTGCATCACTACAAATTCTTACCAGCCCTGTTTTGCAGCGGACAGCTTACTTCTCGCAAATTATCCAGTGTCTTAATTCACTGTGCCTGTTCCTTGTAGGACAAGATGAATTTAATGATTCACATATTGGTGAAATGAAGCTTTGACTCCTTTGGGGCATGAGAGGGGAGAGGGGGCAGAAAGGATGGGGCAGAAGTACAGGTGTGGAGAGAGTCCCAGAAACAGCAGCAAATAGGTCCCCAAAGGAAGCTATGGTCCCCAAAGGAAGCCATGCTCCCCATTCCTTCTTGGAGGGAGGCTGGGGTCACAGCAGTGGCTGAGATGCACAGCCTGGCCTGTCTAGGTGAGAGGAGATTGGGAACTGTCAACCATTTCATGCTTATTTATTTTATGATCCTCGCAGGCTGGGGTTTACACAAACAGGACAACATGTGGATTAGATAATTTGCGGGGAATGAACAGCCTTTGATGGTTATCAGTCTTGGGGGCGATTAAAGTCTGTTGATGAGGATGGCTCAGGGATGAACTGTTGATGTTATCCACATCCTCAGATGTTCAGAGAGAGACTGGGCGGTTCATAGCCCTGCTATAAATCCCCGTGGGGGATTGCCCCGTGGAAGAGGGTGGTCGGATATCAGCTGGAGAGCAACACTCAGGATACTATTACCACACTGAGGAGTAAACCAAAAGCAAAACAAAGCCAGCTTCGGAGTCACCCGGGTACTTTAGAAAACATGGACTTCCTAGTGAATTCATCTCAAACTCTGTAAAAGGACCAGCCAAAGATAAATGGTTTACATATGAACCTCTAGCTTTCCATTCAAGTAGCGTAAAGACAAGCACGAGGCTGGCTTCCTCGTGTGATCTTTTCTCCAGCTCAATGTCCAGCAGAATTTGCCAGCCCCAGGTTCACCTAAAGCACCTTCTTAGAGAGGGACCAGATCAGGGTTTAGAAATGCGAAAAGATGAGGGCAATTTCCCCACAGATAAAACAGTTTCAAATCCTTTTCTTAAAAAGCCATTTAGTTTAGAAAGCGCAAGTCCCCAGAGCGAACCCTACTGCAGTGCCCAGACAGTTCTCGGAATACCATTTCGATGGAGCCGAGATTTTTCCAAAACTGAAATGCTGGCCAGGAAAGACGGAGCATCAGCCACTGCAGGTACACACAGCCTGCTGGGCAAGTGACCACTCCTCTGGTCCCCAATAGGCCCACCCACGGATAGGAAGTTAGATTAAATAGTCTAAATGTGGGAACAAAAGTAATAGAAACAGGAAAAGAACAATTTGGCTTTGTTTCCTTTTGTGAATTGAGTTTTAAATTAGTCAGGCCAGTGTATCTATTTATTTTAAAGGCAGTTCAACCAAGAACTGCCACTTTCATGGCTGGAGCTTTTGATTTCTGGTGCTGAACAACAAAACCACTGCCCACGCGTCCTTGAGGACTGGTGGCAGCGATGGGGAATCCTTCCTCATGGGGTGGCACATGGTTCTGACACTGTTGCCTCTTCCATTCTGAAAGCAAAGGAGAGTGGAGATGAGCGAACAGGGTGGCAGGCTGGGCAGCGAGAGGCCTCACCGTCTGACTCTCAGTTTCCCTGTCTGTAAAATGGGGAGGTGGTGGAGGCAGGAAACACCTCAACATTGTTTTCTGGTTCTGAGCTAAGTCCTGAGTCCTGATTCTGAGCAAGGGTGTTGGGGACATCACACATCTCACCTCCAAAGCCCCTTCGGGCCACCCTGCTGATTCTGGAGATGGGAGGGGTGGGGCCAGGGAAACAGAGCCTTTACAAAGGGGACAATGACAAATCCCCCATTTGTGGATAAGTCCCTTTCACTGTGAGCCTGAAAGGCCACTCAGGGGGTGAGCAGGGTGAGTGTGTGTGTGTGGGGGTGGGGTGGGGCGAGGGCCCTCTTGTCACAACCCCATTGAAAGTGGGTGGACCTGTCAGCAATGACAGAGAATGAAGGAGAAGCCAATAAGGGGCTGAGCTGGTGGCTGGGGGGAAGAGGGCAGGATCCAGAGGGCTCAGCCCAGCCAACGTGGACATCCAGGCAGACAGTTCTGCCACAAGGATGGGGCCACAGGTGCCAGGTGATTGGCCAGGTCCTCAATCTGGAACCTCATTTTAAACTGATGACAATACTGTAGATTGTTTCATGATGGATCAGGATGGAATTTATACCCCAAACCACTGGGGACTGGATCTTTCTGGAAACATCAAGGTTGAATGGGAGCTGGGGCATGGAGCTGGTGTGACGACAGACCAGTCCATTCAGACAAAACATCCTGTCAGGACCGCTGCAGGACAACCTCCCCGGTCCCACAGCTGATCACTGCAGACAAACGACCCACCGGGTCAGCCCAACAAGGGGTCAGTTTAGACACACAGCACATCTGTCCAGCCACAACAGTCTGTTCAGTTATAAAAATGACTGGGGGGAAGGACAACAGAAAAACAGCAATAACATCAGTTCAATTTTTAAAAAAATAACCATGCAACTTCCTGGGTTATTATATAAGGAAACAACCAATCAGTTCAAGGACACAGTTACCCAGTCATCAACCACATGACAGACTCGGGGGTGAAAATATTTAGAAACCATCTTTTTGGTCCAGCCTGACTCTCTGTCTCCTGCTGTGGAATGGGGTGGAATTCCAATACTGTTAGAACTGGTGGAAAGCGGGGCTTGGGAATCACACACCCAAGCTTCACCCTTCCTCATTGCAGGGGTGTGGAAGGAAGTTCAGATGCTACAGGATTTCCAGCAGTTTTTCTCCTCTCTCTGTGTTGAACGTCCCTCAGTGTCAGAGAGTTCTTCCTTGTGTCTTACCAGACTCTCTCTTGCTGCTGGACCAGCCTGGATGCTCCTCCTAGTGGCCAGTCTCCAGAGGTGAGTGTCCAGGTATGAGGAGCCTGGGAGCAGGCCAGTGACCCCTCCTCCCCTGACGTTCAGAGGGTCCCGGATGGCGAAGGAGAACCTGGAGGGCCCTCTCCGTGTTTGGTGAATAAACACAAGAGTCAAGTTTCTGGCCTGTCACTCTGCAGCCTTTCATGGCAGGAGAGACCAGGTAGGCCGGAGGGAGTCCCCACTGGCTGGGCATGAGAAGAGGCCGGAGCCTCAGGGGCTGAGGCCCAGCCAGACAGGGCGCAATCTGGATGGCCAGTCACATCAGCATTTGCAGCATGGGACTTCACACCTTTGAAAGGCTCTGGAGTGGCCCGCAGGAAAATAAACGGTCCTTCCAACCACAGCGAATGGGCCATCCTCAGGGGCTACTCGTCATGCCATGAAACCCTGTAAAAGGACCCAGTGTTTCCTTTTCCACTCCCTGAAAGGAGCCTCGAAGGACTGCCAGGATTGGACAAGAGGGCTGGGGTCCCGCCTGCTCCCGGGGACAGCCACCGGCTCTGAGCCCTGGTTTTACACATCTGGTGACAGGAAGAAAAGGACCTGCATGGGGGGCGAGTTGTGTGTGTGACGTGGAATGAGCCTGTAGAAGGCAGCGTGTGGGAGGGACGGTCACTGTCCTCCTCCTTTTCTGTCACCTAGAACGAGCTGAGTGCCTTCAGGAGCCACGGTGCTCTCTGTCAAGAGGGGTGAGCACCCACATGTGTGAGGATGAAGGGAGACAAAGGGCCTGGCCTGGGGCCTGGTGCTCAAAAGGTTCTCCTGCAGAGATTTCTTCCTCTGGTCACCCTCTTGGTTCTTCCTCCCGGGGGCCCAGGCACTTGGTCTTACAAATGCGAACCGTGGTGTGCTCTTGACCCACTGGGTTAAGAACGCTGTGAGGACCAACCCCTGCCAGCAGCACTCGATGACCTTGCTACACCACAGAATCGCAGGAGAGGCTAGACTCCAGGCACTTGGGAAGCCAGTGGGAAGAATGCAGGGATTAGAGAGTCCTGGGATTATTGTAAATCTTGTCTCATTGAATGACAGTTCAAGCAGGAAAGTTGGGAGCCTTGAGGAGAAAGAGGCACTAGTGGACCCTGTTGTCTGTGGGTTTCCTGAAGGAGCTGTCTGTCCAAAGCCAAGGAGCTCAGTTTCCACCCAGGTCTAGTAAGCTGCAAATGCGACACACCCAGCCAGTGGAGAGATGGCCCCAGAGGGCCCAAGTTCTCCTGCCTGGGCTTTTCAGAGCTGGGAAAGACCAGCCAAACCAGGACCAAGGGGGCTGTGCATGGAAAAGCAGATCCTTACCTGAACATGTAGCAGTGGCAACTGAGCTATCTCCAGAGGCCATGATGTCCCTGTGACAGGAGGTATCCAGTAGAGGCTGAGGACCTGTGACAGATACTGATGAGGCAGGGCACTGGATGGGAAGTGGAAATATCTGAGAGATAGACTTTGGAGTCAGGCACCCTGGGGGCTCCAGTGCTGGCTTTATAATCCACACTGGAGTGACCCTGGATTAGTCTCCTAACCTTTATAAAGTCCCACTTTCCTCATGGATATAGTTGGTAATCTCCACTTCAAAGACTTGTTTTGGGGATTAAATGAAAGAATGCTTGTAAAGCATTTAGTTCAGGGTTAGAAAGTTGAAGGAAGATTCCCCCGGTCATGGCTGAGGTTCTAAGATCTGGCAGGTTTCATTTTATAGAGGGTTAAGATCCATAACTTTGAGGATTCTGAAATTACAGAAGACAGACATTAATTTAATACTTATCCTGTGCAGGATAGTTTCTAGGGGCTTGATGGAAGTTAACTCACTTAATCTTCACAATAACCCCGTGAGATAGCTACTACTGTTACCCCCAATCTATAGATGAACAAACCGAGGCAGGAAGTTAAGTAACTTGCCCACAGTCTCACAGCCAAGGAAATGGTAGAGCTGAGGCTAGACTCTGGTCTAATGTCTTATGCACATAAGATTCTAAGACCCCCAGATTTCAAAACCACTCCATGTTCCTAACATTTCAGAGAGTTGGAGACTGAAGGGCTTTTATTATTAATAACAAACATTCAGGATGAGATTGTTCTAGAACAGGGGTCAGCAAACTTTTTCTCTAAAGAGCCAGGTGGTAAATATTTCAGGCTTTATGGGCTTCAGGTCTCCCTTCATTGTTGGGGCTGATAACCAAACAAGTGAGCATGACTGCTTCCAATAAAACTTTATTTACAAAAGTGGGTGGCAGGTGCATTTGGCCCTTGAGCTGTAGTTTCCTGAGCTCTGTTCTCTAGGCACCTCGGGCATCTTCTACTCTGCTGAGCACCTCAGTGGGGGGTCCTTCAGGATTGAGCCCCATAGGAGCTCAGATCGGCCTCCCCTTGTCCCCAGCTTCCATTTGGAGATGCAGAGAGGTCTGCTTTGGCCAGGGCGGCTCCTCGGGGTGTGGGGGCTTCTGCGTGTGGCTGTCCCTTGCTGTCCTAGAGAGGCTGTTGAAAAGGCTCCTCTCTCCAGCAGTGTAGCCTCATTACTCTGGGCTGGAAAACAATGTTAATTTTCCCCAAGCGGGAAGCAGCTGCACTTGTGAGCCAGGGCTCATTTTGCTGCATGAATATTTATGGCCTGTCCCCTAATTAAACCCAGGGAAAAAAAAAATCTATCCTGCTAACAGGGGCCACGGAAGACTGGGAGGCCATGTCAGGAACCAGCCTCTTGTGCCTGTGAAGTAGATTGTCAATGAAACATTTGTTTCCAGAGCCACTTGGTCAGGGCCAGTGTCCAGAGGAGTGGCAGGGTGGGCATTTCCCAACAGGTCAAGCACCCTTGGTGTGGTCACGTGCAGGTGCCAGGGGCTGCCTGGGCCACCTTGCCGAGCAGTGGCGGGTGGCTATTGTTCCAGGACTGCATGGGGTGACTCAGGGTAACTGCAGGCCACAGCCCAGGCAAGATTGTTTTTCTTTTAGTCAGGTGACTCAGGTATTTCCCGATTGTGCCTCAACGGTCACTCTAGTGGCAACAGCCCAGAGAGAGAGGGCCTGAGTGTGGAAACCAGGAGAGCTGAGTTTTTTTTTTTTTTTTTTTTTTTTTGTGGTGCTGGGGTTTGAACCCAGGGTCTTGTGCATGCTAGGCAAGCACTCTTACCAACTGAGCTATATCCCCAGCCCAGGAGAGCTGGGTTTGACACTGATTCTGTAGGACCTGGGCTCTCCCAGCCTCGGTCCCCAACCCCCCTCCTCCTATGTCGTGAAACTGAGTTTGGAAATCTCAGGACCAACACCCTCATGAAGTTGTTGCTGAGAATTATATGAAGATGATAGAAATACAGGTTTAGGGGTATGGACTCTAGGATTTCTTTACCTCCAGACCCGTCTCTTAAATCCCCAGAGCCAAGAAAAGTTGACTTTGCCCAGCCCAGTAACCTTGAGGTTTTTCCGGAAACCATAAATCTTGGCTTTTCTTTGAGGGGTCCTATCTTCAGAGAACAGCTTGGGCCCTCATATCCTCTTCCCTAGAGCCAATAAACCAAGCAAACACCATAAAGCTCCTCACCCGTCGGAGCTTTCCTGATGGTTGGAGTCAGCTGGGTCCAGATTCAAGGATATAAGAGCCTGACCATAAAGTTAAATATGGCTCCTCCCCTTTCCTTTCCAGAACAGAAAAAAGAAATGGAACTTAACTTTGCTTTCTCTCTGCTGTGTGCTTTTTAATGATTTTTCCTCTTTGGTTTCTTCACAGCACGTGGGAGACCCCAGCTTGTGTAGCCCCTGCCTTCTTCCGCCAGCTGCGATGACCCGCGTGAGGAGGATGCTTTCCCAAGGTGGGTCCGGGGGTGCAATCATCTCGGGGCCTTGGCCAACCGCACACCTTGTAAATTCAAAAGTCAACAAGATGTGGAAGTGGAGGGGACCCCCAGGCTGAAGGGGAGGAGGTGGGGACGTGGGAGTGGGCCTGGCCTGGGAAGTGGGTCAAGGGTGGCTTCTGAGCCCTTTGCCTCCCCTGACAGGGCCTGCCCCACCCCCCTGGAGCTCTGGGACTTCCTGTTCTCTCTCTACCTTCACATCCTGAGCTCAGCTCTGATTCCGGCAACAGACTGGACTCCAGAAGGGACCTTAAAAATCCTCTCTCTCACACTTTCACCACAGATGGGGAGGCCGCAAAAATGGGGAGAGCCTTGTCCAAGGTCCATATCAGAGCAGGTAGAGTGCAAATAACACTGGGCTGCAGTCAGGAGACCTCAACCCTGGTTCTAGCCTTGGTTGGGTCCAGACCCTGGTCATACACAAAAGCCCTGAGCCCAGCTTTAGACTGTAGCCTTCATTACTGTAGCCTTTCTAATCCCAGGTCAGTGTCAAGGTAGGCACAGTATCACAGCTTCCAATGGCCCATCTTACTACAGAACCACTCACTGCTGTTGGCATCCAGGACACCATTTTTACTGATAAAGGATGCTATGCCCTTACCAGTTTGGAAGTTTGACATAATGGCCCATCAGAACACTTTAGCAAAGATGTGACTGTCAGAAAAATCACTTTACCTCTCTGGATTCAAGTTTTCTTATCTGCAAAATGGGCTTGTCATGCACCCTGCCCCAAGCCTAATCCTTTGGCTTCTTGAGGGCCAATTGAGATTATGAAGATGCTTTGCTAGCTAGATGTGCCTTAGTATTGATGAATGAGTGTTGAAGTTGTACCTATTGTTTATGTTGTTATTTGCTAACCAAACTTGCTTCTGGCTAACCAGAAAGATCTGGTGTCCTCTGGCAACTTAGGACCTTAGAGCAAATTTTATAGGTTAAAAATGGACAAGAGGAGGCCCAAGAGCTTGGCCAGGGTCCCCAGACCCCATAAGACTTGGGGAGCTGCTGGGTTAGATAATGAGACCTCATTAGCCTTATATAGGTCTGAGTCTATTGGACAGACTGTGGCACTGGGATTTAACCAGTTCCAGTGTGTCACAGGTGAGCCCAGGCAGACACTTGAGTGCCCAGGCTTGGGCTCTGGTCATTGTGGTCCTCCAGAAATTCCCAAACTCTGCTTGAGAGGAACAAAGAGGCTCAGGTGGGTGCCTACATACCCAGGCCCCTACCTCTAAACTAGCTTCCTTTCAATTTCCACCAGCTCTTGCATTTTGGGGAGGAAAATTCAATCCATATACTTTTGTTTTATTTGCATGAAAACTGTCACAAAACCTTGTCAGAGACATTTCTGTTGTAGAACCTTACAGGGTCTCTTTATCACTCTTTGAAGATCTTTTCCTTCTCCCAGGGTAAACAGGAGTTCATACTGTGCCAGGTCTGCACCGCCAGCCTCCTGGCAATTGGAAATGAGAAGCCCCTCAAGTCTCCCTTGGAGCAATGCTTGGCCATTGCTTCCCTTTTTGATTCACCCCAAGTCCTTCTGGTAGCATCCCCCTGCCCAACCCACCACTGGGCAGGGAATTAGTCTGTCTGGCTATGAAGTAATGTTTGTGGACACCTCTGTTTATGCCATTCTGCTACCTGACTGAATTTCTTCCTCACCATTCCTGAAATCTTCCTTGTTCTTTGAGGCCCAACTCAACACAACCTTCTCCTGATCATTCCAGGTAAAGTGATTGACAGCTCAGGATTCAGTACTGTGTGACATCAGTGAAGGTTTACTACAGAATGAATGAATGGAGCTGGGCACAGTGGGGCACACCTGTAATCCCAGCTACTCAGGAGGCTGAGGAGGAAAGTTCGAGGCCAATCTGGGCAACTTACTGAGACACTGCCTTGAAGTAAAAAAAAATAAAAATAAAAAATAAAAAGAGCTGGGAATATAGGTCAGTGGTAGAGCACCCCTGGGTTCTATCCCCAGTACTGGGGGGGAAAAAGATAAAAGGATGGGTGAAATGATGGATAACAGGCTGGCACAAGTTACCCTACGCAATTCTTTTTTCCTAAAATGTGTCAGGTGGGGTTTTGGCATATGCAGAAGTTTGATGAATGCCTGAAGACTGGCTGTAGGAATCCATTTATAGAGCAGGGTCTAGGGGGCAGGCATAGTGCAGAGGCTGACATGGCAGCTGAGAATCACACGTGCTTCCTGCCCTGCTGCCCTCACCGTTCAGCTGAGTGAGGTTTGCACAGAAAGCCACATTACCCACTTGGTGACTTTTGGGATAAATGTCACGGGGAGGGAATATGAATAAGTCAGTAAGTGAATGAGGAATGTGCAAAGAAGAGAATGAGCAAACAGAGGGAGAGAAGGCATATGTGAATGAGTAAGTGGATAGTGGGGACAATAAAGGAGGGGATGGATGAAGACTCATTATGAAGGGAAAAAATTCATGCCTCAATGTTTGTGGACACAAGGACTAGAGGCCAGCGTTGCCCGAAGTCAGCCCCTCTTGGGAGGGAGGTGGGCAGGCTGGGCAGGGGGAGGCTCCCAGGGCACATGAGGGGCTCTCTGCATCCTCAGGTAGGCACCTCTGCCACTGCCTTAGCATCTCTGGGCCAGAAAGAGTGGCCATTTGGAATGAAGAATTGAATGCACAGACTCCTGAGCTACTGGGGGCTGAATTTTGCTCCTTGCAGGGGAGGAACTGCAAGCTTTCACCACCCTATCCAGCAGCAAGGGACCCTCTATATCAAGCCAGCAGTCTTGGGAAGGGGAAGCGCACCACCACCTGACCTCAGGGGGCGCTAAGAGGACTCTGCTGGAACTAACCGCGCGCTTTGTGGACCAGCCCTCTGCCTCTGAGCTCCTTTTCTGATCACCTCCCTGCAGCTTCCTCCCTTGTCCCCTCTGGCTTCCTCCCTCCCCTGGCACATGCCAGGCCTGCTCCTGTCTTAGAGCCTTTGTGCCCCTGGTTCTCATTCCGGGATGCTTCCCCAGACCCTGGGGCTCACCTCACTTCCTTCGTTTTTTTTTTCCCCAAAGTTATCCTATGAATGCAGGGCCTTCTGGGGCCACTATACATTTATTTGATCGTATATCCCTTCCTTGTATTAACCTTTCTTTGGCTTTGAATTGTTTGCAGAGCATTTATCCTTATCTAAGGTACTGTGCCGTTTTCTTGTTTGATTTACTATTTCTCCTATGAGGATGCCCACCCAGGAGGGCCGGGATTTGTGCTGTTTTGTTCACTACTACTGTGTTTTAGCTGCCACACAGTAGGTGCCACTAATATGTATTAATATGTATTAAGTGAACAAATGAAGCGAAGACTCCAACTCAGCCTCTCCTCCCCACACAAAAGCCACTGTTACCGTCTGTTCTTGTCTGGATGCTGGAAAAGTCTTCTCCTAGACTCGGCTCCACCCTGACCCAGCCTCCTCCCAGACCCTAATCTCTTCCCTTATTCTCAGCCTCCTATCTTAACCTCCAGCTTCCTCCCAGACCCTCAGCCTTCACCCTGACCTCTAGCCTCCTCCCAGGCCCTCAGCCTCCTCCCTGACCCAGGCAGTGAATGGGGCCTTCACATAGCCTTTTCTGGACTTGGGAGTCAAGAAGAGAAGTCATGGTGCTTTGGAAAACACATGTTCTTTTAAGGAAGAATTTTTTGTTTTCATTTCAAACAGCCCTGGCTGGTGACGAGTGGTGAGGAGAGGTGCCCTGTTTTCCATCCTGACACCTATTTCCAGGTGGGGGCAGGGAGGCCTCCAAACCTGAAATGTTATTTCAAACCCTTTCCGGAGCCTTTAGGCTCCATTTCCAGCCCACATGCCTCAAAGCAAAGCACCATTTCCCATTACGTCGTCGTGTTGCCCTTTCTGGTCTGAGCACCTTTCAAAGGGGGGAAGACCCGGGCTGCTTCAACACTCCCTCCTGCCCCCCCGTAAATAAAGTCTCGGAGCTTAAATAAACAGCCTTGCTTGGGTACCGATGGTCACACTCCTGATAGGCCAGCTCGTCAAGGGCAGCAAACTCAGGCGGTTCCTCCCTGCCCTCCAGAGAGAGATGAAACTGGTGTTTGGCAAACACTCTGGGCCTGCTTTCTGCCATCTGAGGCACATTCCAAAAGGAGCAGGCCAGGCGAAGCCTTGTCATCTGCCAGGGTGCAGACGGAGATGGATGACGCCCTCCCTGCCAGAGAAGGCCACATTTGAGACACTCCCAGATAGCCAGCTGCCACTTTATTAACAGCAAAGATCCCCATCTGAATCAGGCTGGGAAAGAAAATATTTATCCTTGCTTGTCAGAGGACCTTCATTTTTCTTCAGGGGGAGCCAGCTTTGGTTCAAGTCCAGGGCTCAGGGAGTGTGGCAAGTCTGTGGGGCCACTCCAGGCCTTGCAGCAGCCCCAGGGTGGATGCCCCTCCAATGTCCTCAGGGCAACTCTGGATGGGAACAGGGATGGTGGCCTCAGGAGAGCTGTGCATGGGGAGTGCAGGGGAGTCAGGATACCAGAAACCAGAACATGCCCTGGCACCTATTAGACAGTAAATGACGGACCTACGTGTAGGAGTGGGGCTGCCCTCAGAGTCAGGTGGACAGAAAGCATGGGTTAGTTAGAGAAGCAACTTTGTGCTGAGTTAGAAGAAAATAAACTTTGCACTGTCAGAAATGTCAGCACTGGAGCTGAGTCTGTCATCTTAACTAGGCATATATTAAAATCAGTTTATGTCATTACTTTGTGGGTGGTTATTATTTTGATTAAAACTCAAAAGTCAATTCTTTTAGCAGTTTCAGGGATGCCTGTGAATCTGCATCTTGAGAGACAGCTGTATCTCAAGACACTGAGTTATAAGGTGTGTGAGGCTGAACAAGCCAAGTGAGCCCAGGGAAGGGAGGGTTTGTCCTCAGAGGGGCAGGATGGTTCTCCTTGGACCCCAGTAAGGTTTCCACCCCCAACTCCAAATGAAGATCGCCTATCCGATCCGATGGTTGTGCACATCCGAGTCAGAAGGCCTGGGTTCAAATCTCGGTTTAGCACAGTTGCTTAGCAGTGGTGGGACCTAGTCAAGTTTTGGTCTCTCCTTCCATGAGATGGAGCTGCTAAATGTCTCCCTCTTGGGGCTGCCTGGAGGAAAGTGAAGTAAGTATGTGAAACACGCAGCCCAGGGAGAGCTGGGGAAGTGACTACCGGCAATAAAGGAGGAGTCTGGGGGGGGGGGTTGCAGCCTCTCTCTAGGAGAGCCTTGGTCCTTTTTATTTATATGTGAATGAACAGGTACAAATGCATGTTAGTATGATTGCTAGTTCATATCTGACAGTGGACCCAGGCTGCTATAACAAAAATACTAAGGACACAGTGGCTTGATTAAACAGCGGTTTATTTCTTGCTGCTCCGGAGACTGGGATGTCCAAGGTTGGGTGCCTGGTGAGGGCCCTCCTCCTGGCTTTCTGGGCCTGAACTCTGGTCTCTTATATAAACTCCTCTTCTTATATGAACACTAATCCCATCATCAGGGACCCACCTTCAAGACCCTGTCTAAACCTAATCACTTTCCAAAGGCCTCCCCTACAAATACCATCACCTTGGGCATGGGGACTTTGACATGAATTTTAGGGGCACACATTTGGTCCCTAACAACATATGGATATGAGATCTGTTTCGTTCCTACCTGCAACTGCTTTTGAACCTGTGTGCTGTGTAGGCATTCATGTCTAGTTACATATTGCAAGTTAAAAAGAAGAACAGTGAGGGCCTGGGGCTTATAGCCATGTGTGTAACCTGTGTTCAGGCTTCTGCATCCATGAGAGTGTAACAAAGGTTAAGTCACAGGCTCAGACTACAGGCATGAGTCAGTGCGTCACCTGTGTACCCCCGTGTGTATTTATAAGCCCCATATGGCAAGACTCCTGCTCCCACCAGTCTAGGGCAGTTACTGAGGGGACCCAGAAGAGGGACTCAGAGGGACTGGGGACCTGTCGAGTCTGAAATCTGGCTGCAGATGCCCAATGATTTGTTTTATGCTGTGTAAGAACCCCTGGCCCTGAGAGCACAGTTTGCCTGGAGGAAGGACATGGAGTCTGTCCTTGATGTTGTGGGGACTTTATTAGCTCATCTCCATCCAGCGTGGGACCCATTTTCATCTATCCAGATGGATCATTTGTCTCACAGATCGCCTTCAGAGCTCCAGCTCAAGTGACATTTGCTTAGCAATTGGCCTGTTTGAAAAGCTGATGTGCTAGAGCCCAGGCATGCAAACGCCTCACCGTCCTTCTGAGCTGGGGGTGCCGGGGGGCCAGGCCCATGGGAGAAGGTCTGAGGGAGGGGGTGGGCATTTGGTTGGTCAAGGATCCCACAGAAACAGGCAAACACATTATCCACTCCAGCACCGGCAATTTTTTCCCCCAGGGTAGCTAATTAGCAGGCAGCTGCCTGGGCTCTCTACTTGACTTGCAGAATTAGAATGCTCCGCACAGAGATCTGTGTTGACGCTCAAAATCCAGAGTCTTCTCCAGCAGGAGAGGAGCTCTGTGAGCTGAAGCTGACACTGTTAGACTGCCCTTCCAGGCCTGGACCAGCTCCTCTGCACAGAACCCCTTCCCTGTTGGAGGCTTTGGAAAGTGGGAAGTCGGTCAGTGCAGGCACAGATGTCACCTCACTTCCATAAACACAGACACACAAATTCACCCAGGCTTAGGTTCAAATCTCAGTTTAGCACAGTTTAGCACCCACTCACAGAGAGGTCCAGACCCCACAGAGCACACCGACTGCACACAAACATTCAGACATACCTGAGATCTGCACTCACGTTCCCTGCTGGGTGTAGTGGCACATGCCTGTAATCCCAGCAACTTGGGAGGCTGAGACAGGAGGATCACAAACTCAAGCCAGCCTCAGCAATTTAAGGAGGCCTAAGAAACTCAGTGAGGCCTTATCTCAAAATAGAAAATGAAAAGGGCTGGGAATGTGGCTCAGTGGTTAAGCACCCCTAGGTTCAATCTCTGGTACCAGAACAACAACAAAAAACACACCCGCACACATGCATGTATACATATACACCTATGTGTGTGTGTGGCAGATGCACTCTTGCAGGCGCCTAGAAACACACATGTAATGCCACACAACTGGGGACAGAGAAGCTTCTTAAGTGAATTTATAAAAACAAAAATTCTCAGAAACCTACATTAGGATTCTCAATCAAATCTCATGTCAGCTTCAGAGATGAGGTTATATAAGAATGACATGTCAGATGAGCTACCAGATATCTGATGCCAGATTCAGAAATTATATGAGAATTAGAATTCTTGTAGCAGAATTAGTGGGGAGTTTTGAATAAAACTCTGTGATCCTCCAGAATCTGACAAGTCATTGAGTAAGATATAGAGAATTTTGAAAGGCTCCCCCATATAATGAACACAGAACATTTTTAGCATTAAAAGTAAAATTAAATGACCATCTCTGATTAAGAGGAAGAACATTTGAGTTGGTAAGCACTGTCAGGAATTTTAAAGAGATGTTTAAAAATGATTTTTTGTTGTTTCAGGAACAGAATAACTTGGAACCAAAATTTTCCTGATTTTTTTTTTTTAAACAGATTGGAATGGTTGACAATGAATACAACTTGCCCAGGAGATTTTGATGCAACTACATATGTTTCTAGTCCCTTATCTTCTTGCTATAGACCTGAAAACCGAGGTCCAAGTTGGATAAGCTACTGCTTAAAGTCATATAACTATTAACTACTTCTGTGAGTTAATGTATGTAGAGCACACAGTAAGTGCTCAATAAGTGTTAGCAGCTATATAATTTCCATGGTCATTACAATCGAAAGTCATTATCATTAGTCAGGCAAGGCTAAGAAGGCAGAAATCCTTCCTCCTCACCTGATGTCGGAACTTGGGGGTTTCCTTCTCAGTTGAGAAAACACTCAGGGGTTAGTAAACGTCTAGGTCCGGCACCCAGTCCTCCTGTCTTCTCCTAAGATCTAACTGAAGAATGCCAATCTTCCCACTTTCAGTAAAAAGTCAAAGGAGTGTTATTGACAGTGGTAAGGGTGGCAGCATGATGCTCTTTATGGGAAAGTCCTCTCTGCTCAGAGGCTTCGAAGGACAGCAACCTCCTGCTGGTCTTATGGACACAACTTTCCCGTCTGCAGGGTCGATCACCACAGCTGCAGGTAGTGGAGTAGTGGGGCTGCTGAGCTCTTTCTGCTGACTGCTCCCCGGAATCTCTTCAGGCCAGGCAAACTTTGATTCTAACCACTTCTCCCTAAGCCAGGGCTGCTGGGTGGTCTAGGGGCAGAAGGACAGAATGGGGGTGGGGCAGGGCAGGCCTCCAGTGGAGGAAGGATTGAGAGAGGGAGTGGGGCTATGTGGGTGAGGGTGGGGAGGGCTGGCGCATGGTGTCAGTGTTTGGGGACTTTGGAAGACTGGGAAAAACTAGCTGATGTCAGAATTCCAGGAGGAATCCGGGAACGTGGTGGGGGTCCCCAGTAGTGTGGTAGACAAGGAACTCCCTTTTCCGAAAACCCCCCGTGGTCCCAGGTGGTTAGCGGGTGGGGTCCACGCCCGCCCCGAGCCCCCTACACTTTGTGTCTGGGGCTCCAGAACATGTGGCCGACACCCCCGCCTCCAAGGTTGCCATTTGGAACGCATTTGCAGACACATGGATTGTTTTTAAGTTAATGCTTTTTAATTCACTCTGTTTCCAAGTTGTCGTTTTTTATTGAAAAGGCGGATTCTGCCGGTGTGTGTTCCTCTGCAGGGGCGGGGGCGGAGGTAGCTTCGCCGGCAGAGATCGGAGGAGAGACCGACGAATGGCAGAGACAGAGACAAAAGGCGCAGCGAGACAGGGGGAGACAGTGGGAAACGCGCAATCAGGGTCAGAGAGGAAGAAAGGAACAGACTGGGAGAGGGAGGTGCCCCGGCCGCGCGAGAGAGGCCGAGGAGCCCGGCCGGCGAAGGCCCCGGGGACAGGGTGGGAGCGAGGCTGGGGACCAGGGGACAGGGAAGTGCTGGGGAACCCGGCTCCGGGGAACCGCGGCCGACGCCCCCACCTCGGCTAAGGTCCCTGGGATTGAGCTTGCTTTCCTCCTGCTCCCCGGTTCCCGTCGGCAGGCCGTGTAGACGACGCTGATCCGTCCCAGGGAGAGGGCTGGAGGGATGCGGTGGGCACGGACTCAGTACGCAGGACCAGGGTCGGCGAGGCCTAGGGATCGAACCTGAGCGCGGGGAGAGAGGCCCCGGAGGCGGAGGTGCCCGCTTCCTCCCCGGAGGACCCTCTGTTTCCGAGCTGAGCCTCTCTCCCGCGCTGCGGCCGCCAGGAGTGGCGCCCGGGGCCTGCTGCGCCGCCTGGGAAGAGTTCCCTAACCTCTCTGAGCCCGGGGCGATGCCACTTGTGCGACCGGAGAAGGGGTGGCCCCTTCCAGCAGGGACGAAACGGCTCCGAGGCCGGGGAAAGAGAGACCCGTCGACGACGCCTTGGC